AGGTGTAGCCGCCATTGTGGACGAGCTTCCTTATGTTGATGTGTTTCTGGCCGAGCGGACAGGCTTCAAGATTGTCGGAGAGCCGTTTATGAGGCGCGGTTGGGGATTTGTAAGTGCCCTTCTTGCTGTGATTATTTTTCTTTTTACCCACTATATATTTACGTATTTTCTTTTCCTGGAAAGAGCAGGCATTCAAGAGAGAATCTCCATTAGCGATGGACATGTCAACAGCGATCTTGAAGCTGTCGGAAACGAGGAAACTGAGAGAGATAAGACTGAAATGGTTCTGCAAAAAGGGTTGTGCCGAGAAAAGAGGATGGGAGCCAGAGAAGAAAAACGAGCTTCAGCTGAAAAGCTTCAAAGGGTTGTATATAGTATGCAGCTCCATCACGATCATGGCGTTTTCGGTGTTCGTTCTCAGAACGATCCGACAGTTCGTGCGCTTCAAACGTGTCGAGATGCACTCTTCCTCCTCCTTGTCGGCTTCTGTCTCTCCCGGCGGGAAGAGTTTCGGCCACTTGATATTTAGTTTCTTTGAGTTTGTGGATAAAAAGGAAGAAGCTATCAAGAGAATGTTCAGAAGGTCTAATGATGATGACGGCAATAATAATAATAATAATAATCCTCAAGCTCAAGCTCAAGCTCAAGCTCAAGTTACTTTGGATGCACGAAACTGATATATATATATATATATATATATATATGGCCAATTAAGGCTTGTTCTTTACATAGTTTCAGATAGATTTTATGATATATACATATGTATACACACACACATACATACATATATATATATGTAGTTTAAATGTAAATCTTTATGTTACTATATATGATAAAATGGTACATAGAACATGTTATCATCAGTGTTTGAAATCTTGCTCGTCAGATTCCTTGCATGCAGAAAGGGAACAAGACAAACCCGATAAAAAGCTATATATAAATATATATATATATAATGTGTGTGTGTATACAATTTTAGACGTTCTTCTGTCTTCTTCCTTAATATATTTAGTTTTCGATGGCAATGTTGGACCACACGAAACTGTAAAAATAAATTTTTAGACAATTTCATCAAGTCAACATATATTTTTATTTAATTATGTAGGAACGTAATGGTTTTTTAATAAGCATGTATATTCGACCAAAAAAGAAAAGAGAATATGTACAAAATGGAAAGGACTCTTTGATTATTGAACGAGTATATACATAGGGATATTTTAGTTATATTGTATCCATTATGTATAATTTTTTAAAATTAAATGAATCAAGTGCTAAATTAAATTAATCAAACACTAAAGAAATGTAAAATATACAAATAATTCAACAAAATCGATTTAAAAAATTGATATATAAAATGAGTAGTAATAATGTTTATAAAACGCACGTGCGATAAGTAGCTTCATCCTACAAGACAGAAATCAGAAAGAGACAAGGAAAAGGATATTGATATTTGATGGGTCGCGATATAAAGACAAAACATTGAGGTGACCAATGAACGCATCTTCTTGGACCTTGCTGCAAATCTTTTGGGTCAAATAAATATCATTTAGTTGTTATATAAATATCATTTTTCGATAATTTTGCTGTTGTAATATTCCTGTGGATTCCATTCTTTATTTTTTCTATTAAATTTATGAAATATTATCCATTATAATGAAAATATTATTAACTACATATGCCTTCATTTTTTCCACCTTCTATGTTATATAATTTAAATCATAAAATCAAATCTTTCCATGTTAATTGTATCATTTATTAAGGATGGTATGTCAATCTTTTTACTTAAAATTAGAAAATTCATATAATATTTCATTAAACAAAAAAATACAAGTGGAAATATTTTTTAAATATATGACATGAGAAACCATTATTTGAGGAATAAAGACAGGCTTCCCAGTAGATATGGCTGACGCGAACAACCTCCCAGACACCTTCATAAAATTCATTAATTAGTTATTCAATGAATGTAGCATTTTTCTTTAATATTTCAATTGACTTGTCTTTGTTCCTTTTTAAAAAATACATATATATATATAATTTCAATTAATTCTACAGTGACTAAAAATGTAAAAAACATGGGGAATAATATATATATATATATATATATATATATATATATATATACGTGTGTCTGTACGTGACATGAACTGCTTTGTTTATCCTTTCAGTGAGAAAATCTGTGTTTTGATTTCCAGGTGGTCAATCAGTATGCCTTGTTCGATTCGATTTCTGGAAAATCTGAAGGACCCTTTTGCCCTTTTGCTTGTCCTATCTCTTGTTCTTTTGTTCTGCCACTAAAACTTACTGATAAGTCTCTTGGTGTTGATGTTATTCGCAGGCGATTCTTCATTCTAAAGTCTGAAGCATCAAACGGCTATCCACTGACCCAGGGGAAAAAAATCGCTCCTTTAAGCTCGAAGACGATAAAGATGGGATTTTTATTGACGATCAGAGGTGATTCCATGGTGAAAGCAGTGATGATTGCGGTATTATGTGTTTTTGCGACGTGGGTTGCGCCAATAAATTGCGCTGGTAGAGGAAGAATCCCTAGAAATTCTTCTTCTTCTTCCCTTTCATTTCCGCGGAGGCCAAGAGTTGTGAATGTTGGAGCTCTCTTCACGTACGATTCTTTCATTGGAAGAGCTGCTAAGCCTGCTTTAATGGCGGCCGTGGATGATGTTAATGCCGACCAGACACTTCTTAACGGATCGAAGCTTAACCTCATCTTCCACGACACGGACTGCAGCGGATTTGTCGGCACCATGGGAGGTAAATCCTTCTGATGGAGCCAGAGGGTTTTCAACTGCCCGAAACTAGTTCGTGAAAATGTCTGAATGAGCATGAGATGGTGATAAGTTTCTTGTTCTGTAGCCTTGCAGCTGATGGAAACAGAGGTGGTTGCAGCCATTGGTCCGCAATCTTCTGGAATTGCTCACATAATCTCCCACATTTGTAAAGAGCTCAACGTACCCATCTTGTCGTTTGCAGCCACTGACCCAACTCTCTCCTCTTTCCAGTTCCCTTATTTCCTTCGGACCACGCAGAATGACTACTTCCAGATGTATGGGATCGCCGACTTTGTATCCTACTTCGGATGGAGAGAAGTTGTGGCCATCTTTGTGGACGATGAGTATGGTCGGAACGGGATATCTGTTCTTGGTGATGCCTTGGCCCAGAAACGGGCCAAGATCTCTTACAAGGCTGCATTCACTCCCGGGGCAGATAAAGACACCATAAACGATGTCCTGGTCTCGGTTAATCTGGTGGAATCTCGTGTCTACGTTGTCCATGTGAACCCTGACTCAGGTTTAAACGTATTTTCGTCTGCAAAGTCTCTTGGAATGATGGGCAGTGGCTATGTCTGGATTACCACGGATTGGCTTCCGACAGTTTTGGATTCCATGGAGCTTGTCGATGCTGACACGATGGATCTCTTGCAAGGAGTGGTTGCTTTTCGCCATTACACGCCAGAGAGTGATAGGAAATCGAGGTTTAAGACAAGGTGGAAGAGTTCAGTAGATGGCGGCGGCTTCAATTCTTATGCATTATACGCTTATGATTCCATCTGGCTGGTTGCTCAAGCTCTCGAGGTTTTCTTCAGCCATGGAAACTCCGCGAGTTTCTCCAATGATCCGAATCTGCGCCAAACAAACAGCAGCAGCACCCTCGAGTTATCGAGGCTAAATGTTTTCAACGAAGGAGAGAGGTTTCTACAGATGATCCTCGGGATGAATTTCACAGGTCTAACCGGGCAAATCCAGTTCGATTCAGACAGGAATCGGGTCCAACCTGCTTATGATGTCTTAAACATAGAAGGGACAGGTCCACGCAGAGTCGGGTACTGGTCAAACCATTCGGGTTTCTCAGTCGAGCCTCCAGAGACATTGTACTATAAACTTCTGAACACTTCTGCAGTAAACCAACGCCTTTACGGGATCATATGGCCAGGTGAAGTAACACAGACTCCTCGAGGATGGGTGTTCCCGAACAACAGGAAGCCACTTCGGATCGTGGTTCCTAACCGTGTCAGTTACAAAGACTTTGTTTCCCAGGACAAGAACCCACCTGGTGTTAGGGGTTATTGCATCGACGTGTTTGAAGCTGCCATTGCATTGCTTCCGTATCCTGTTCCACATACGTATATTCTGTACGGAGATGGAAAGAGGAATCCTTCGTACGATGATCTTGTCTATGAGGTTTCTGCAAATGTGAGTCTACTAACTGCATCATCAAGACATCAGTGTAATGCCTGCTAACTTCTGTCCTGTTTCCAGAAATTTGATGCAGCGGTTGGGGACATAACCATCGTTACAAACAGGACAAAGGTCGTGGATTTCACACAACCATTTAGGGAGTCAGGGCTGGTGGTGGTGGCTCCGGTCAAGGAGGCGAAGTCCAGTCCATGGTCGTTTCTAAAGCCGTTCACGCTAGAGATGTGGATTGTCACTGGCGTCTTCTTTCTCTTCGTCGGAGCCATCGTCTGGATTCTCGAGCACCGTTTCAACCAAGAATTCCGTGGCCCTCCCAGACGACAACTCATCACCATCTTCTGGTTAGTTTCCCGAGTTCTTGTCCTTCTGACAACTCATGTCTTAAGGAGCTTGTTCTGATCATAAACGGTTGTTTCCATCGTCACTGCAGGTTTAGCTTCTCAACAATGTTCTTCTCTCACAGTACGTTTTCTCTACCAAGAAGAATCCTCTTTCTTTACTCTTCATGAGCTGATCAGCAAACTCAAAGTTCTCGTCTTTCTTCTTTTCTTGACACTCAGGAGAGAATACTGTCAGCACGTCGGGGAGGTTGGTGCTGATCATATGGCTGTTTGTAGTTCTGATCATCAACTCGAGCTACACGGCAAGTCTCACTTCGATCCTCACTGTACAACAGTTGACATCCCGGATCAGAGGAATAGACACCCTGATAACGAACAACGAGCCCATCGGTGTTCAAGATGGGTCGTTCGCCTGGAAATACCTTATCAATGAGCTTAACATATCGCCATCGAGGCTTGTCTCGCTCAGGGACCAAGAAGAGTATCTCTCTGCTCTTCAACGTGGTCCCAGAGGCGGTGGTGTGGCTGCCATTGTTGATGAGCTTCCTTACATCGAGCTCTTCTTGTCCAACGCCAACTGCAAGTTTCGCACGGTTGGACAAGAATTCACCCGCACTGGCTGGGGATTCGTAAGCATTCTTTCTTTCTTTTTTTACCTCGGATCTTTGCCACTCTTCTTGCGAGCATCACTTCCTGAAACTCGACACTGATACTGCAGGCATTCCAGAGAGATTCTCCTCTAGCGGTGGACATGTCGACTGCAATCCTGCAGCTATCAGAAGAAGGGGAGATTCAGAAAATCCATAACAAATGGCTTACCCACAAGGACGAATGCTCCATGCAGATCTCAGATGCCGAGGATACTCAGCTCTCGCTGAAAAGCTTCTGGGGGCTCTTCCTTATCTGTGGCATCGTTTGCTTCCTAGCCCTCACTGTCTTCTCCTGTAAAATCTTCTGCCAGTACCGAAGGTTAAGGCATGAAGGTGGCGTTGAGGGAAGGGCGGGTGACGAGCCCGAGCCTTCTGGTTCAAGGAGAGGTTTACGGGCAACGAGTTTCAAGGATTTGATCAAGATTGTGGATAAGAGGGAAGCAGATGTCAAGGAGATACTTAGGCAGAAAAGTAGCAAGAAACTCAAAGCTAGCCAGAGTTCAGATGGGCATTCTCACTCGAAAAGCTCAGAAACTACTCCCTAAACAAATAGATATATCCTAAGATTTTGTAAAAGAAATAGCTGAGGGAAGAAGATCCATAACTCAGTGATGAAAATACTTTCTACAATGCAAGTTCATTTTTTCTGTATTCGGGGCTCATATTTCAGAGAAAAAGAAGCACACTGACCATGACAACAGAATCAGTCATGGAATTCTGGGTATCGGTTTATTGCATTGTGTCCTTTATTGAAAAACATTATGGCTGCTACATGTTAAGGGAAATGCATAAAATGAAAGACTTGAAAAGTAAATGACAGGTGAAATGTCCAAAGATGAAACATGAGAGAACTGTATCTTTACTCGAGTTTTACTTCTCTCTTTGGTGGTTCCAAGTCCAAGTACGTAAACGGTTCTGTTGGTTCCTCTCTGCAAAACAAGATGCATTGGTCAAATAATGTAAAACGTCTTGTATTCAACTATATAGGTATGCAAGGTCTATATTTGCTTATATAGACAGACAAGAATACATCAAGAAATTCCACTGTCAATGATTAATTATCTATACAACCAATTCAAAGATCCAACAGAGAATTGCAATTTGTTATCAACAAAAGATTGTAGAATGTTTAGATTGAACTTACCCTGGCTTGGAACGCATGCACTGCCAAAAAAGTTTAAAAGGTCCTGGCACCGTCTTAAATGGGTTTCCTTCAAAAAGGGCCTGCAAAAAGTTTTCAATGTTTTACGCAATCATCCATTTCTTGCATTTCAAACTATGCAAGAGATGGTCATTCCCAGGACAAGTAAGTTTTATAGAAGAAGCCCAAAACTGCTTAAAAAGAAGAACTACATACACACATGACATGCATAGACCTAAACGTATGCATGTACATGTGTGTGTTGCTACAGCTAGAGTGTATTCTCACTGAAGATCATATAAAACTTGAGAAGTAATATGTTCAATAATTAACAAATAAGTTCAGATTTTATGAGTGTTTAGCTCATGTTTACAGAATCCAGGCCAAACCGAATCTTGTTCTTCCTTATCCATCACTATGTCTATTCCTACCTCCGAAGCATCTTGTTCAGACATGGCATGGATACGGTGTCACCTAGGGAGTATATACGCAACACAGATGCATGGACATACATACAACATTGAGAGACTAAAACCCTCCATCTATTTTTTTCTTGCAAGGGAAAACTAAAACCTGCTATACTGAATAAGCAAGAACAGAGTAAGGAAAAAAAAAAGAAACCAAGCTTACCAAATCAGTAATGGTTTCAGAATTATCAAGGGGGAAAACAAAATTCTATCGAAGAAGATGAAACATCGCCGATCGCATCTTAGCCGAATGTTAATGCAAGCTTAGACATGCCAGAAATTGAACAAAAAATTTCATATTTATTGCTCGGTGAAGTCATTATCCAGACCCAGAAACTGTCATTCAGGATTCCAGTTCCCTAAACGATTCGAAGTCCAGAGACCAGCAGAACCCTAACAAAACCCTAATTTAATTACATCAACATCTCGAACCCCACAGGTCCACTAGTCGTCCACCTTACCGAAATTATATGCCACAATGCCAAATCTCAGATGGAATCAGAAAGAACAAGCAGTTCGCAACAAATGGAAACTTCAAAGTTTTTTTTTTGGTAAAAAATAATTAAAATTTCCGTTGCCGGGAGTCGAACAACTTCAAAGTTCAAACCCTTTTTTACGTAAAAGAAGAAAAGCAAAGAGGAAGTGGCGGGAACCTGGATCACATCTTCGACCCGATCGTTGCAGCGATGAGCCTTGGGCTGCCGATTATCTCCTTCCGGCAACCCCCATGGGCTCTCTCTCCTCGGCACTGGTCTCTCGCTCATCCTCCTCTTCCTCGGCACTGGTTTTTGCTTCTTCCTCCCAAAGACGAGAACTTTAAATTGAAATCGGAATTAAATCGTAATGTACCACCGGGTCGAACCGGAGCATTCGCATCCGGTTTAGCGGTTCGGTTTAATTATATATCAAAAAATCTCTCCTACGGCTTCGTCTTCCATTTTCGTGGTCAACGATTTGCTTGGAACCCTCAGATTCAGAAGCAGAGAATCCATCGGAGAAGGAAGAAACAATGGGAGCATTCTGCAAGTTGATCGATTTCGTTCTCTTCTTCTTCTTCGCCGTTATCGCTGTCTCTGCCCCGCTCATCGACGGTCAAACTTCTCTTCCGAGCGGTATCTACCCGGAGGCCCTCGTCGATCTGAAGAAGTGGTACAGCACCGAGTTCGGAGATTACCTGTTCGTCGAGAAGCCGAATTTTCTCGTTGGACTCGTCTGGCACGAGCTCCTCTTCCTGTGGCCGCTCTCGATCGCCAACATCTACGCCATTCTGGCCGGGAAATCCTGGTTCGGTACCTCCTGCTTGTTGTTCGGAGCTTCCATCGTGGCTTCCATGGTATGGTGGAATTCGATTTCGTTTATCGTAATGCATTTTCTGGGTTGATTTGGTGTGAAGTTCGATTTCTCTGTTGAGATTTCCAGGGAGATTTGTGTCTGCATGCTGTGCACGTAAAAATCAAATCTTTCGCCGTTCGTTTTGCGAAAAAGTATAATGTGAGACGCGAAGCAATTTACACGAAATCGTTCTGATTCTAGCATTGTTGTTTGATAATGCCTAACATGTCCATCCATTGATAGATTGTCTCGTTTTGCATCGAGGTTTCCGGATTTGTATGATTGGCATTGATTGGTATATTCACTAGATTCCCCATTGTTCATGTTCGTGAGAGAGATTTTGATATTAGTATGTGTAATAGATCCTGAAACATATTTTATCGTAGTTAGTGAAACTCGGAACCTTTCTTTGTCTTCTTGATGATGGTAACCATCAATCAGGAAGCGTCAAAGCTTTAAGCTTTAAACTGTTCTAATGTTTGTCTGGATTCTGCATTATTCTGTGCCTCTGTATCTTCTTCTCATTCGATTATGGTGAAACTTTAGGCTGCCACACTGGGAGAGCTTTTAGGTTCAGGCAAGGCATCTGACAAGTTGCTGATGATGTATGTGCCCTTCCTGGGCTTCGGGATGCTGGCCATTCTCCGTGGTCTAGTTTCTTCTTCTTCCAAAACCACTGGGGCTAGCAGCAAGAGGTCTGCGATTTTGGCCAGGAAAAAGCGCGCCTGAGGATTTGATCCATTCTCCTATGGATCCGTTCACAAAGAACTTCTTGCCAGAGTAATCGGTTTTTTTCCTTTACTTGAGATAATTCTTCGTTTCTTCTCATCTTTGTTGGACCCTTGTTGAGAAATTTTTTGTTGCTGGCAATAGAATGCTTATTCCTTGGTTGGATTGAGGTTAATGGTGGCAAAAATGAGAATCAGTTTGTTCACACCCAAACCAGAACCAATGGCTAAAAACTGGCAACAATGAGTTGCTCTGTAATGATTCTTTCAAGAAAAGGTGCGAGCTTTAAAAAGAATACGACTTTACTCCCACTTCACAGCAGAAAATGCAGAGAAACCAGAAGAAGAAAATGACTTGAAAACCCTAAAAGGAAAAAGGAAAACACAATCCCTGAAGAGTTCCCGACCAAGAGTCTTAAAGACAACTGTAACAGCAGACGTCCTTCAACATGTCTTAACTACATTCCCTGTCCACTAAATCAGTAACTTAAGGGGAAAGTCAATTCCCGAACCTCGTAACCCTTTGACTTTTCACTTGTGTGAAAAAGCTCCCTCTGTTTAGTTTTGAGTTCAGCGGGAAGGAAGAGAACTCAACACTAAACAAAAGAAATCTGGTATTCTTGTGAGGTTCGCTCTTGACTCCTCCCCTTCCGAGCATTCCCTTTCTCACACACAAAAAAAAACTCTCTTCAAACCTGACTTTACTCTGTCTCCATGTTCTTATTTCCTGCAGGAAGAAGAAGAAAACAGTTATGAAACACAAACGTATAATAACGTATACAGAGTTTCAGGGAAAAGTACCTAAAAGAGTTCAGAAGAAATCTCTGGGGGGGGGGGGAGTTCAAGCGTTTTCACAAGACAGTGAAGCTTTGATCCTCTCCACAGTGCAAGCAATCAGATTGTTAACAGTTGCAACTGAGCCAAGGGACAGCTTAGCTGTCGGGACTGAATCAACAAGAATCTGAAACGCAACGGTCAGGAGGGACCCACCGGCTTCTCCCGCGCCATCGCCCATCGACCCGCCATTACTGGCACCTGCAGGAGCTGGATGAGGAGATGTCCCGTCGGGCAGAATGGCGAAACCCGAAGGAAGAAGAGCCACGTAATCAGGGTCTCCTCCGTTCAGCACTACGTTCATAGCCACAATGTCGACCGGTGCGTAGATCACGAAGGATGCCGTTGCGTCGGTGCAGCTCTCTTGCAGAATCAGCATGTTGCTTTGGCTCGAATTCGCGCTCTGTTACAAAGACACTTCTGTTCATGTAAAAAAAAGCCGAAGAATGCATATCAAGTTGATAAAATTCATCAACGAAGTACTCACATTTACCCGAAGAAGCGAGACGCAGTTTCCAGTCTCCCTGCCATTAGCAATATGTGCCATCTCTTGAACTACTCCTCCATTTGAGAGAATATCCCACTGCAGGGAATTCAGATTACAGTTACAGATACTGAAAAGTTGCAGAATTCTCATCCACGAGGGGAGATAGTATAGAGTATATAGTTGTATATATATATATAGCACCTCGTTTCGGGAATTCTCGTCCCGGAGGAAGTCAAAGACTCTCTTGGGAGGGACAGGGATACAGATGTACATACACACTCGACCCACAACGCATTCATAAGCTCTTCCTCGTCATAACCCTCACATCATCGGCACCTGTCCCCGACAATGTTGTCCAAGTATGCGCAGTGGAAGCGCTCACTCCCGAGCAGAAGCTTATCACCATCCGTTCCGCCAGCTTCAGCATGCTCCTCCTCCCTTCTTGGTTCGTTATCACTACACATATACATACATACATACATGCAGACAGTCAGACATTACACGACAATCAGTAGACTCTTTGAATCTTGAGATTATAATCAAGCCCGTACCGCCAATGTCTCCGGTGGGAATGTTCGTAGCCATGACACTGGGGAGCCGCTCGCACTGGCGGTCCAACGTAGCGACCCAACGCTTAGCACCAAAGGCCTGCCCGTTATTAACGAGCTGCTTGTACAAGCTGTGAACTCCTCTGTCGTCTACTTCCACATGCTCCACCCAAGTAACCTACAGAATCATACATTATCCACATTGTCTGAATCAAAAAACTCCGAAGAAAGCATGAGTTTGTGAATTACTGAGCAAAATCTTGAGCTTTTTTTTTACCTTAGAGTACCCATTTGGCATTTCTTGAATCAGACACCCAGAGGGCCGTCTGCGGCACCTGCTTGTGGGGTTCGGACGGAGACTATCCAAGGAAACGTCGACCACAACCCACGAACCATCTACTTGCTGTTTACAGTAGCGGACGAAGTAGCTTTCACGGGTTGGGACCAGCGGCGACGGGACATGGAATTCAGCAGTCATCTACAAGCATGGCGAAAGGAGATATGATTGGAGACTGAATACATACATACATACATATATATGTGTATATATGAGTTGAAGCTACAATGAAAGAGTTCTTCAGTAACAGAGAAAAGACACTTTACAGTACCAGTTGCAGAGCTCCATTGTAGTTTCCAGCTACTCCCGTTGACAAAACTTCCAAAGTCAACGCTCTTGATACCATCCCAGAGAACACGGTGGACCATTGATTCTGTGTTACATAAATCATCACATCTTATGTCATGCACTCGCATATACATATATACATATATGGACTGTATATGCAAAACGTATAAACAAGAACCAGGATTAGGAGGACTGCAACCAATTACCACATCCATAAGAATCTCAACGATGTTGATATGATTCATGATCACCACAGCACTTTCTCTTGAAGCTTCACACCTAAACCCAGCAGGCCGAGGACCGATACCATGAGGAAACATCTGTACATATTCCTCCTCGTTCAGAACCAAACTCGAGCCATCAAGACCCGGGAGCCAAAGAGGGTCGTTGACTTGAGCCATCCTGATGAGCTCCTCCATTGCAGCCACAGCCAGTTCAATGATCACTGGCTTATCAGCCTCTGTCGGAGCAGCAATTGACCTGAGAAGGTCGCCCGAGTTTCCATAAGAGTCCCCTCCGAAGTTTCCAACGCCGAGTTCCAATGGACGTGGAGGAAGAGGAGGGGTCATTAGGGGATAGCTCACGACCGGTTTCCCGACATATTTGGCCGCAATGGCAGAGATGCGGTCGATCTGCATGTGCATGAATTTGAGTACAGTACATTACACAATCTGTGTAGTTTAAAAACATTAAAAGGAAATGGTTGGCGATGCAAAGACCACCTCCTCCCTTAAGCGGGCGTTTTCAAGGCGGAGATGGTGTTCATCGAAGGACATCTCTCCAATGGCGGTTGGACCTCCACAGTTAGGACATGAGGCATTGGCAAGAGCTTCTCGATATCTCATGTTGTCCGCCCTAAGCTTCTCGTTCTCTGTCCGAAGCTGTGTGTTCTCATGGCGCTCGTGATGGTTCTACGGATTTTCACCCGGAACACAAAGTTTCAGCATCAAATATAAATTTGATTAAACAAATAAACAAACATGAGTATTCAATCACCAATACACTAATTAATGGAAACATCCATGCATGCACAAGTTATGTATTTCTGTGTACATGCACATCTATTCATTGACTATATATATGCACACACATGTCTAGACAACAACAACATCACCTCATTCTCAAGTTCAAGTACATGTCTAGCAATACAAAACGTGTGCGTTAATAAAGTCCTTAGTTCTATGCATAGATTTATATATTTATATATATATATATATATATA